CACAGTTCCTCCCCTCCCCCCCCCCCTCCCCCCTGTTTCACGAGCGGCGAAAATGGCTGCTTGCCTCTTCGGGAGTGAGCGCACTCCTTTCTCTCAAACTCGGCGTGTGCCGGGCGCACGTGTGTCATCCACGAGGTGCAAAGAGGGCTGCTTGCCGGATGTGGAGGGAATTTGCATGCCTGAACAGCTCGACTGGGGAAGCCTGGCTGGGCTTACCTCGTTCTTCTGTATTTTCACGCTAGTCATGTGTATTGACATTTACCTAATGACTTGTGTTAACGTGTTCTGAAAAATGCCTTCTTGGGGATAATCTAGTTCTTTATCCTATTTCATTTTTTATAGCTACTGTTGCTAAACCTGGCTGTCCTTGCAGACAGAAATTGTTTTTGAGTTAACAGAACTTGTGCTTGTCCAGAATATTGTACAGCTTTTATCATTTCTACTCTTTTATTTTGCATTTCACGTAAGTGGTGCAATTTCACCCCTTTGTGGTACGTATGTTTATTGGTATTGGGGCTTTCTATCATACTTGCATTAAAAATTGGATCTTATGGTCCAGTAATGTGAATTTCATGGCCCTAGCTGCCTAAATAGTTATACTACAAACTCCATCTAAACTGGCCAGGCAGTCCACTGCCAAAAGACCTTTGCCTATGATTGAATCGAGGATCAGAAGTTTGTTTTAACTGGCAATAAATTAAATAAAAGTCCCCAAGTCAAGACTCTTGGAGTGGTTTTTTATTTGTTTACTAGGTCTGAGTGAAAGCCCACTGAAGTTATGTTGAAGGTCTTTTCACTAATTTCAGTGGGCTTTGGGTCCTAACATCTGTGGCTTAACGGAAGGATTCCCATAGCAAATTTAAAAATAAAAAGGTATGGCCTGTTTTTTTCATTGCACAGATTTCTAAAAATCTTGAGTCTCCTTATGTATTTGGTAGTTTTCAGAAGTGTCAGTGACTAAGCTCTCTCTATCAGTCCCAGTCCTCATGTTCTACTTCTGTTCCTTGTTACTGAAGGGAAATTCCTTCTGCTTCTGTAGACCTGAGTTTTTGCCTGAGAGGTGAAATGTTTCAAATTTTAAAATTTAAACAGAAAAGGAAAGGGGAGCAAATTATAAAACATGCTTCATTCAGCCCAGAAAAGTCTTTAACGTGATAATTCCCTCTTGTGGGCATTTAGATAGGTCTTTTAGACATAAAATGCTCCAGAAGAGGTCAAAGTTCAGAAGTATTAACATAGTCAGTATCTTTTAACTCATTCAGAATTGTTCTGATGGAGTTTATGAAGAGACATTGGTATCCTGTTCTTGTATGTGCGTGTAGATCTCTTACTTCAGATAAATGAATGTTTACGCTTAATGCATGTTATCAACTACTGTTTATTGTTATGAGCTTTTGGCTTATAGCTTCTAGAATGGAGCACAGTTCATTCCTGAGCCTCTTACTTAAATGTTACTGATTTATTGGTAATTACCACAAGCAGTTAATCTACAAACATTTTGATTTAAATTGGGAATGGGACCAGTTTTCCCCTTGATTCTTAATTTTTTTTTTCCTTTCTCATCCCTCCCCCTCTCTTTTTCTCCCTTTTTTTTCTCCTTTAATTAAAGGAAACACTGAAGAGGCTGGAAGGCTACTGGGCAGCAAGAATGTCCGTGTCAATTGCTTGGATGAGGTACAACAAACCATACCAACATTGTAGTGGGTTTAGCAAAGAAAATACTAGCTCTGAAGGCTTACTTGTTATTCAGTATTGTTGCTATATAGATTCTTGGAAATCAAAATTATTCTGAAGACGTTTCCAGCCTGCAGCTGAATAATAAACCTTTGAAGAGTTCTTACTTTATAAGAAAATTTGAGATTTAATGTTACTACCGAGTTTGTATTGTCTCTTAAAACCCTGCATGAACTTTGTTATGGGAAAGGTGAGAAGAACACTGCAGAGGAGCTCCCTCGTTTCCTGTCACCTCTACAAAACTGTAGTGCATCCGTTTAGTTAGCAGCAGACAATATGGATAAAGAAAACCTGTCCCCGTTTTTCATCCATCTCACACTTGTATAGTGTCACCCAAAGCCTTACCTTTGCAGAGTGATAACCATAGAGAGAGAGAGAGAGAGAGAGAGCAGCCACGTCAGAAATGGTAAATGCTGTCTTTTCCAGAAGCAGGTGTTACAGCCATGTAGAAGACTTAATCCTTAAGTGTTGCCTGCAGATGGGAGGAATTTTTTCGATGAAGGACTCTAGTGTGTGGTTCCTGTGTATTTCCTCATATTTTGCTTTTTAACCGTGTTTTCTGAAAGTATGACGCATTGATATAAAGTGTAACATGGAAGCAAAACTGTAATTGCCCAGCACACTTCAGATCAGTGTTAAATGTCCAATTGCATGTATCTGTGTTTCACTAGGTACTTCATATTAATATATGTGTTTTTCCCAAGTTTACTCATACAATCACTGGTAAATTCAGGCTGCAAGGGGCCTCAGGAGGTCTGTAGTCCAACCTCCCACTCAAAGCAGGGTCACCTATGAGGTTAGGCCAGGTTGCTCAGGGCTTTATGCCTTTGGGCCTTGTAAAACTCCAAGGATGGCAACTGCACAACCTCTCTGGGTAACCTGTTCCACTGCCTTACTGTGCTCATGGTGAAACAAGGCTCTCTTCATATCAGGCTGAACCTCTCTCTCGATTTATGCCCATTGTCTCTTGTCCTCCTGCTGCATGTAACTGTGAAGAGTCTGGCTCCATCTTCTTGATAACCTTCCCGTAGGCACTGCCGAGCTACTGGTAGGTTTCCCTCCCTCCCCCACCCCGGCCCCCAAGTGCACCTCTTCTTTAGGCTGAACAAGCCCGTCTTCCTCAATGTCTCCTCCGATGGATGAGTGCTCCAGCCCCCAATGTGGGAGCTGCTGCCGTGTCTTCATGGTCCTCTGCTGAACTCACTGCAGTTTATTGATATCTTTCTTGTACTGGAAGACCCAGGTGAGATTGGCAGTCTCACAGGTGCTGATGGGAGGGATATAATCACTTCCCTCAATCCACTGGCATGTTCCTGGGATATTGTTAACCTTTTTTTTTGATTTCCTACCAGCATATCAGTTTTCTGATTGTATTTAAACAGAATTAGATATTTAAACCTTAATTTCTTATGTATAAATCTCAGCAAACTTCTGACAAACTAATCAAAGCTTTACAATAAACTTGAGGAACCCAAGATACAGTGTAAGATGCTTTCAAGTGTGCTTTAATTTGAGCTTTAAAAGCATCTATTTTAGTTTAAATGATGGACTAGTACATAGGGAATCCTGTGCAGTATTAGTGCAACACGCAAGATTACTGCTGAGAGGATGTGGTTTATTAATAGAAACTATAACTGAGTTATGTCTCAGGCTATACTTAAAGAAGAAATAGTACTTGCCTAATGTTCGTTCACATCTGAGTAAATATGTGCTTTGAGTGTAAGGCTTAAACAGTTTATGCAAAGAACTTCTTACAGTCTCTTCCCCCCCCCCACCCCCCAAGAATGGTGCTTGGTGATTATGTGGAAAAGGAAAGGGTTTTGATTTATTTAGGATTCTTAATCCACCAGTCATCACACATCAACTGTTAGACTTTCTCTATTATAAACTAGTTTTCCTCTAATGTGTTGTTCTAGTATCTGTGCATAAATAAACAATGCGTGAGACATCAATTAAACATTAGTTTCGTCTGTTATCCAAGTGTGACACAACTGGAGGCTGCTTTGAATATGTCAGGTCTTATTTTCCTTCTTCACAGCCTTAGCTGTTTGTCCTAGAATCACATTAGCAAAAATGTTTAATAATGTTAAGAAATGAGGAAACAGAGCCCTGACAGTGAAATGCTTAGGTATTGATATGGGAGCATAATGAGGTGGGAAATAAGAATTTTTGAGATACTTTTTCTTTTTTGGAAATACTTTTATAATGTAATTATGCTAATTCTGTAGCCTCTTTCTTCTATTTGTGGTACAGCAAACGTGAGGCATTTTAATAATTTCACATAAGCAAGATTCCATGTTGTACTTCCAGATTTCAAATAAAATAAATACATAAAGAGATATCTCATTAGTTTTTGGTTTGATTGTGTCTACCTGTATATCCCCAGGTCCACTTACTGCTAGATTAAAAACTATTGAGTCAGCAGTCTTTTCTCCATGTAACTTTAGACAAGGACTAAGTCACAGTTTAACATCCTCCAAGTACATTGACTTTTCAACTATCAAATGCAATTATGTTTTTCCAGTATCCAAGCTAATTTCATAGTTCTTCTCCAAATCCTTTCCAGTCATTCCAGCTTCTTCCTTCAGGAAAATAAATGTGACCTGGATACAGTATTTCAGCTTTACTTTTACTATTGTTAGATATATTTTTAAGTAAATAAAAATAAAAAAAGTAATTAATAAATAAATCACTTCTGTAAGCCTATTTACTTTTTCTGCCCTTATGTCCAAGATTCATTTTTGCTTCACTTCCTCCTGTCTGCGGCACTATACTGGAAGCAATAGGTGTCTTCAAAGTACCGTTAAGTTATAAGTCCTCTCTATTCAAATTAATTGTTTTGCAGGTGCCCGTATTCTAGAGTAGTGCAGATATTCAGTAGCTAGAGGTTTTTTCCCCCACATTCTTCCTGAGTAAATCAAAAAACCTTTTTTGTTGTTGTTCCTTTGGGAATTTAGGGAGTTGAAGAAAGGAAAAATATGTAGGCTTAATTACTGCTTTTATGAAAACATAGAAGTGCATTGCTGCTGTTCTGGCACTTTGAAAACTTTTTTATTATTGTTATTATTTTTAATGTTTTTTTTAAAGCTCAGATGCCCCAGAATATTAAGACAAATATATGGATGGTGGAAATGGATGCAAAGTAAACACGTATGCATATTTCATTTCAGTGCACACTAATTGTTCATTTTTATTTGTCCTATTTTAGGTGGAAAGGTTGTTAGTTTAGAAATGCACTGTAGAAGAAAGTCTTCTGGAATTTTCTTCTTCCTTGGAGTACAGAACTTGTAAATATTGTTGTGACTTCAAGTTGGCAGTTTGTAGACTTTAGCTCCATCCATATGCAGGATGTGGCTAAGATCTCTCAGTTTGTTACAGAAATGTGGTCTGGAGGAAGCACGTTGGATTTCTAGCCATGGAAGTTTCCTCCAGTCATGCTGGTAGTTAATGTTGCAAAGGAGCACTGTAATACTACAGTCCCCTATTTTCTTGAAAAGTTCACTTCAATGGATGAAACAGAGAGGCTTGACCTGAAAAGGCTTCATATTTGTTTACACTTGAAATCATTTCAAGGTACTTATCATGTACAGAACTATCATTTGGCATTTTCGGCTTTGCTATTTCCCTCTAGCTTGCTAATTCACCCTTTTATTTCTATAATATAAAATAATCCGTTTGGACAGCCTGTTTTTATGTGCCAATTACGGAACTGAATAATTTCTGGAAGGTAGTACAGCAGCCTGCTTATTAGTGTGTGAGGTCTATATAATTTTATTCATATTGATTATCTTCAGTGGAGGGTTTTGCAGTCAATCTACTTGCTGTTCCAGTATAAACTTCCTGTGTTAGCAGAAAATATCCAGAAGCTTGACCTTTATTGAGGAGACAGAGTTCTGGCTTTTGACATTTTTTTTTTTACCTAGTATTTTGAAATCCATTGACCAGAGAAAACTCGACAGCTATTAAGAATCTCCTGGTTTCCATGCAGGTCATTGATGTAGAATTTAACTTTTCATCACTGCTGATAAACAGATTATCAGAGAAATCTAATGTGATACGTATGTGAAATCAGCAGCTCAGCAGGAAGATTATAAAGGAGGAAAAACATAACAATGATGGACATATCTGCACTCTCTGAACAGCAGTTCATATTATAATTAGTTTATACTTAGCTATAAACAAATTTATTCATACATATACATTCCAAATCTAACTTGCAGTAAATTAAAGATAGGGGTGATCTTCTTTAGAAGCTTTAAGGCTGAAATTTCTGAAGACTTTCATGTGATGAAAGAAAAACTAGCAGCATTCAGTAGCATTTCTGTTAAAGGTCAGTTAGAGACGTTTTTACAATCCAGTTCCAAATATCATCTAGCTTAATTAGACTTCAGCTAATGAGTTGATCTAATTTCAAGTAATGCTGGCTCTTCTTATTTAAGGAGAGGTGATTCTGAAGACGCTCCTCAAGTGGGAGTTTCTCTGTGCTTTTTTGTGACATCTACTATTTTTGCATCATTTGTCTCCTTTTTGGTGACTTCCCAAGTATTCTCTCAAATAAAACTCAAACTACCAGTCTATGTGATTAATTTATAATTCCTTGAATGAATAGAACTGGTGCAGTTGCCAGCATCTAAAGAATAAAATAAGGCACTTTTTCCATGTTAATGTGGGGTTGGGTTCCTCATTGCAAAATGAACTGGGAAAGGGAGGCAGATGCTTTAACAGTGTCACAGCGTACAAGTGTCTGTAGCAGTTTTTCAGCTAAAGCTTACACAGTCTTTTTACTTTTTACACAGTCCTATTTACTAGTATATGCCACATCAGCCCTCACTTAAAACTCGTTAGTTAGCTACCATGCCTACTGCAGCGTCATGGCATATCTGAATATACGCTGAGGGAGCCACGCCAGTGTGATCCAGCTCACGTGTGCCACGTCTTGGCCAAGCTTTACAGAGCTGAGAAGTAAAAAGCGTGAACTGAGTGTGAGAGGTGTGGTCTCCAAAACCCTGGGAGTTCTGGGACCTGTTTGATTCCTCGTCTTTCTTGAGTAACACTGGTCTATGTGGCTGCTTCAGTTTGTGATGTTCAAATCAGCAATGTGCTACCCACAAAACAATAGCTTTTAAATTTGTGTGTGTGTGTGTGTGTGTATGTATATGTAGTGTCTGTCTTCTTACACAGTCAGCATGAATGTTTATGTGTTGGCCACATGATCAGCTTTTCTACCAAACGTACACAGGTTACTGGCATACAAAGATAGTCTATGTATTTGATTTGTCTGCTGACTTTTTGCTCCCTTTCCCCCTCCCCTCATTCTTCCAGTCAAAGATGGTTGAGAAAGTGTTACTGAAAACTTCCTCCATAGCTGTAGAAAACAGGGGTTTGTTTTTCCAGTTTGCTACCTTTATGAATTTGGTTTTATTCATCCTGAGGAAGCACACCTTGATATAATACTTCCCTGGTGCTGTAGGGAGAAATACTAATCTGTTTTCTTCTTCCCCTAGTCCTAGCCATGGAGCCCTACCCCCCGCCCCAACACATGCACACACACGCATACTCCTCCTTTTCTCTCCTTGCGAGCTGATTCGGCCTACCGAATCTGCAGAATTTGTTTCTCTTCAATTTGCTCCCTTGCCATGGCAGCAGTAGGTCAACTCATCTCATGAAATCACCCCCTTCAGTCTGCTTCTGGTATGTTTTCAACATCAGGGAAAGGGAAGGGTGGTGTGTGGTGAAGCTGGGCTGGCTGTGAGGCAGACCTCTGTGCCAGGGGGTCCTTGCTGGTTGATGAGCAGAAGACCCCAGTCAAGGGAGGTGCCAAGCAATTATTTGCTGCAAATTATTTCTAATGTACAGTCAGACTTACAGGGAATGCTTGTAACCCTGCAGAAGACAGGAAATGTTAATGTTCACTGCAGCCCATGTAATAGCCCTATGAAGAAAACAAGAAACTGGGAAAGATTCATTTTTATCATAGGGGATGAGTTTAAAGGAATGGATTTTCAGACAGAAGAATGTTACGTAATTACTGCTAGAAAACTAATTCTTTGTCCTAGCTTCCCTATTGAAAGAATAAAGCAATTTCTGTTTCATCTGTATGCTTAATAAACTGTCTGCCAGCTTAGTCTGTTAAGTATGTTCTTTTGATGATCCAAATGTCATCTGTCAGAACACACCCTGTGTTTGGACCTGTCTTTGACACTGCCTGTGCAGACTGTTTGCAGTCATTTCAATTTCTGTACAGGAACATAACACAGGGCACAGTACTTCTCTGGCCTTTCTGGACAAGCTTGTGATTAGCCTGTCCCTTTTTTCTTTGCTGTGAATGTGAAAGGCTGATATTAGGGTGGCTTTAAATCCAGTTTTCTGTCGTCTATCCACATGTTTTCTGCTTGATAGGTTTTATGGTCAACATTACAGTAGCTTCACACTTTCAAGATTTAATCATAGTTTTTTTCAAAGTTTCCCAGAAGGAGGGGAGAACATAAGAAAATACCTTTCCTTTGTCCTAAAATCTTCAGTCAAGTTTTTAATTAAAATAACAGGCATTCAATTTATAACCACGCTTAAGGTCACTGTTTCCTTAATGTTCCTTCCCTGATGAAAATCTTACTGTGTTCTTACTGTGTCACAGTAGTACTTCTCTATGCTGCTAAAGAGGGAGAATCTATACTATTGCTTCAAAGTGGGGTTGTCCCATAACAATTGCCTTCTAAGATATAATCCCTTAACTTTTCTTTGCAGGACTGCAAATAAAATCTGGCAAAACCAATTACAAATTTGTTTCATGTTTGCCAACTGCTTTGCTCAGGTCTTAGGTTTCTTTAATGACATTTTATGTTGCAGTATACCAGAATATTTCCGGCTACTTAAATATCCTATGTCAAGAAATCATTTTGTAATGTTTTCAGTTAGGACAGGGAATAATTTGAACTTGCCTGTTTTCCCTCATTTTTTAAGGAATTCTGTGAACATGATACTGGTAAGTTTATTTAGTTTCCATTCTATCATAGTTGGAAACAAAATATATATTAAGGCTCTAACTGACAATTAGGTTATTTCAGAATGTCACATCACCATGCATTTACTGAGCTGTAGTAATGGTGTAAATGAGTGTATGCATGCACATAGTCTTAACTTGCAAAAAAGGGAAGAAAATGCCATTTTGATTTCATTATGGGAGAGGCTAAATGGCACTCCCCCGTATTCAGTGCTGGGGAATGTTGTTGGGCAATTACTGTCTCTTGGCTGGTAACATGAATCCTGACTTGATGTTAAGTGAAAATAAACAACATGCTGGAAAAAGTTTATCAAGTTCTAAAAACTGAAGGTCATGCAATTTTCTCAAAGAGAAATTTGCTTTTCCCTGCCCTTTAAGAGGGAGAAAGGCTGTATTCACAATTCACCCTCGTTCTGAAAATTTTCTCTAGGATTTGCCCAGATTTGCATTTATATTTACCCCAGTGACGTTCTGAGGAAAACACAGTGCCTCATTTGCTGTAACTAACCGTTTTTGTACTAGTGCAGTGTATCAAAAGGCAAAGTTTGAGGCTATGTAGTTGTTAAGGTCTAGTTAGAGCTGTACAGCTTTAGAAGAGCATTCAGGGGATTCAGACTGATGTAACATCACAGGCACAATACCGGTAAATCAAGACTAAAAATGAACAAGACAGGTGTCAGAGACTGCAGATCATTGAATCGGAAAAAACAAGACCCCTCCATTCCAATTCTTCTTGTTTCTTAGTATATAATGCAAAGGAAAAATAATAACTTAGGAACCTGACGTTCTCTAAAACGAAGTTCTCCATCAGAAGCCTTACTCATTTTTAACACTAATGTCTTATACAAAAGACCATTGACTAACTGAGGATAAATGGTTTTGATTCATTGAAGGCTGGTCTGCTTCAAATATATAGCACATTGTAGTCAGAAAACAGTGACGCAATGTATGGAAAGTCTCCTGTACGTTAAAAGTCACTTTTATTCATCAAGATTTTGTGAGCTTGTTTGCTGTTACTAACCTATGCATCATGTAAGGTTTTGGCAGTTCAAAGTGAATATTTGTGTACAAGTGAAAATTATCCGTGGTACAAAGATCCAGAGATGTAACTAACGCTTTTCTGAATGCTTCTTCCTTCCTCTTTCTTTTGTTAGCATGGCATGACCCCTCTAATGCATGCAGCGTACAAAGGGAAGGTAGACATGTGCAGGTTGCTCTTGCGACACGGGGCTGATGTTAACTGCAATGAACATGAGCATGGATATACTGCCTTGATGTTTGCTGGACTTTCAGGTAACTTCTTAGTAAAATTAGGTCGCTGATTTTTGTAACATTTATGTGTACAATTTGCCAAAAGTTAATAATTTAAAGGAAAACATTGACACTTTTGTATCGTTCAGGCTTTCTGTTACTTACATGAATCACGTAAGTATGTCTAGACCTGTAGAAGTATCAGGACAGTGATACAGGGATAGCTACTGTTAAGGCTTGGGGTCTTTCTTCCCATATAAAAATTGGCTTTGTTTGGCTTTTTGAGGCGTACAGTCTATCTGTACTTTGTCTGACCTGTTTAGTCACAGATCTCAAAATTCAGTCTCCTGTGGCAGTTTTCTTGTGCAGTGGGATAAATTCTGTGTAATTATAGTGTTGTGTTGAAAAAGATGCTTTATCATACTGCCTTTTTTAGCACTTTACATCAGTAGCTTTTCGTAGTATTTGAGGCTTATCAAATCAATCCGGTATTTGAAGCTGCTCAGATTTTGCGTTTCTCTCTTACATTATTTTTGAAATCTTTATAGCCTTTTGAAAATTATTGAGCAAGTTTCTTTTTGTTTTCTTACATTACTTCTCCTTCTCCTCTTCCACTCCTCTTTTTTTTTTTTTTTTCCATGAAACTGCTTATAGTTGTATATATCTTCTGGAACTTTGGGCTTAGGTGGGTAATTTGCAGCTGTCCTCATGCTATTATTTTTCCCTGATAGAAGGGACAGTTATTTCCTTGAGTGAGAAAAGGGCATTCCCTAAAAACAATAGGATTAGATTTGGGAATGTTAGCTTATTTTAAATATCTTCTTAACTAGACCACTTTTATCTTTCCCAAGAAAGAGCTTTTGTGGAAGTATGCTTAAGATTTCTTAGCAGGTAGAGTTTTAAGTTCTGCTTTCTTTCATCGTTATCATAAAAAAACGATAGGCATATGTGCACATATGAACCTTAACTGGCCCATCCAATTGCTTTTCTGCTAAGACTTTGGTAAAAAGTCTGCAGAGACTTTTGGGAAATGTCAGCAATTCTGTGGCTTTGAGCAATATTTGAGCTGCAGCAAATAAATGGGAACTAACTTTTAGAGGTCGTTAAATGACGGTAGCTTCATTGGAATTGCTGAGTTTTTACCATTTTCTCCCAATTGAGATTCTGACCTGCCATCTTGGGCTTGAATGCTTCTGCATGTTGGTTTTGAGATCTGTTATCTGTGAGTACAAATGGGATAAGAGCACTGTTGAAGCAATGCCTTTGTTTTTAAATCGGAAACATTCATTTCCATCTACCGCCCACTTCTTTTTTTATATTCACTTCTGTTTAGTTAGCATCTGCACAAAAACTGGTGAAGTAAGAGTGAGTACCTTTGAAAATAGAACTAGCACGACTGGTGACAAGTGTCCTTATTAGTCTCTTAAGGGCACCAATTAAGTCATTTAATCTTCCCATCAAATTTTAGCTTCATTTTATTTGGTATTTAGCCCAGTCTGAACGCCCAGTTCCCGCTGGGGAGAAAGGAACAGTCTGTTCTCTTCCCTATGCTCCTGCTACATAATAGTACTGAATTTGTTTTTCTTCTTAGAATAGCAGATGTTGTAGCTGAACTGTCAAACTAGATTAGCACAATTTGTTTCTATACTGCTATCCAAGGGGACCAAGTTCTTGTATAGTTATATGCATGCAACTCCCATAAGCTCTAGGGGAAGCTGAATGTGCATTGCGGAGGGCAGTTTGACCCTGAATGAGTTTAAATGTTTTTTTCTTTGGTTTGATCCTCCTGAACCATCGAAGTAAGGAGGCAGCATTGTGCCTTTCTCTTAATTTGTTGCTAAAATAATGGTATTGAGAACATTCGTTTTGCTCAGTGTTGTTCTGTGTTTCTTAATAATAAGTTTTCTGCTTGTTTTTCTACAAAATAAAGAAATACAAATTTTAGTATGTTCTCTATCTTGTCTCCTGCATCTTCCTCTGAATTCAGGAAACAAGGAAATCACCTGGATGATGTTAGAGGCTGGAGCAGAGACAGATGTTGTCAACTCTGTGGGAAGGACAGCAGCTCAGATGGCTGCTTTTGTGGGTAAGGTGGAAGTCTCTTATAATTTCCTAAATTTCTAATGAATGTGAAGTGTTAGATTCCGTTGCTTTTTATTGGAGAAACATTATTTAATGGCCAGTTCTGAATTGACACAGAAGTTCAGCTTTTTTTCTACATCTTATCCTGTAACAGTCAGTTTGTATTTTATTTCCACGCTCCTTCTTAAAACCACAGATGATGATATCTGTAAGAATAGATGCTGCTGTCCTTGAAGTGTGTAAGTTTATGCACTGTCATCACTTTTCAAATAGTAAGAGGAATCTGGTAACGTTACAGGTGCCTGAAGTGCAGGTATGTGCGAAGTGTATGATTGGAGCTTCCTCTGTAGGAAAGAAAGAACACAGCACTGGGAGTCAGGAATTTGCGTCTGAGCTTTGCCACTAACGTGCTGTGCAGCAGCAGTGAGTCACCTCCTGCCCTTCCGTCTCCTCTACAGGGGAGGGAGAACTCTCAGAGCCTGTTCTAAGATAGGTCAGTCCCCGCTGACCTAAACTCAACTTATTCCTCACTTGGATGTGCTGTGTGACCCTGGGCAAAACATGTTTTTTGTTATGTTTTGTTTGTTTATTTTAAACCTTTTTTTTACTTCTTTACCACCTTGATAGATTCCTGTCCCAAACACAGCCAAATATACTACTTTTTTCCAGCAAAGATGTGTTTCCAGAAAAAGTGGAATAGTGGAATCTTTTTCATGAACCCAAAATTGCTGTTCAGATGACCTTGCTAGCAACCAAAAATAGGGACCCCTTTTCTCTTTTCAACACAGCCCTCTTGTATTGTTTAAATATGCCTGAAGAGAAGTCCGTTGCATAGACTGTGAGATAAGAGATATGTCAAAGCACATTACATGTTCTGGATCCAAAGTCTACCTTGCCATTCGGATTTGCTTTCTTAAATAGTGAGATAGTGCCATTTCAATTTCCATCATATCTCACTCTGTCCTTCTAAAAGAGGACAAGCTTGACATTTCTCACTTGAGGTTCAAGCTGCAAACCCTAACCATCAACTAAATACACTGAAAAAGTGCAGTCCTATTATTTAGATTTTGGACTTGGAGGGTATTTTTGGATGTGATGCTGAACTTTCATTTGTACTGAATGAGGAATGGTATCTCCAATACGATTTTGGAGAATTCTTGTTTAAATGTGATTGTGTCACCAAGGTAGAATAAATTTCTTCAGACAAACAAAGATATGCTACTCTTCAAAGGTCTGAACATTGCAATCTGCCCCTGTTCGTTTTTACTGTCTGTCCAATCGATAGGAATTCATCTGTGTGTGGGAAGTGAGGATACTTATTCCCTTGTCATTTGTCTTACACTTAGCTTAGAACAGTCTCTTCTGAAACAGTGGAATATTTTAAATACTGGAATTTGGTTGGCTGTGTCTTCTCCTCCTGATTAATGGGGTCAGTGCCAAGATAAATCAATCAGTTTAAAGAATGTGGCCCTGAACTAGAGAAGCTAAATTTTACTTTCCCTTTAGCCAAGTAATCCATCATTTTGTCAGTTGTAGAAAACAAGAGGGGGGTGTAACTTCTCTCATCTTGTTACTTTCATCATTATTCTTTTTTGGAGGTAAGTTTTAGCCAGGTTCTGTTCTTATAATTTGTCCCACTTCAAATTAATATACTGTTATCTCTTTCAGTTCTGAAAACTTAAAAGAAATCCCAGTGCAAATGTCATTAATCTTTGAAAGGACAAAGTGCAGAGAACTTCTCTTGAGAAACTGTTAACACTAATATGATACTATTAGCGTAGCTGTGCATCAGAATCAAAATACTGCCTTTCCTTATGGCTTAATTCTGAATATCCTAAATAACTTCGGGTAAAATACCTATTATTTTAGTTTAGATTTAGCAGAAAAAAAGGGTGGGTGAAAGGGATGTGGTTCTTGAAATGAAATTTCATGAAGTCATTTCCTGCTGGGTGTCAGTAAGTTACAATTTTAAAACAAATAGCAAGAGTTACCAGTTACAGGCACAAAGCATATCATGCTTAGCTCCTCTGTGGGTAAGTGTCATCTCTGTTGGTTATATTATGTTTGGTTTTGGGCTTTGGTTATGGTTTCATTCTTACTGGTGATTTTTTTTCTTGTGTACTTCTAGGTCAACACGACTGTGTGACTGTCATCAACAACTTCTTTCCACGTGAAAGACTAGACTACTATACTAAACCACAAGGCCTAGATAAAGAACCAAAACTGCCAGTAAAGTTAGCTGGGCCTCTACATAAAATAATCACTACTACTAACATGCATCCTGTTAAGGTGCAGTAAGACGTAAATTGTGTGTTTGTTAGCATGGGAACAGTTTCTTTATGTCAAAAAGCATTCAGCTCCTCAGAGAATCCATTTGAGATCAAAGGCATTATTCACTTATTCACGTGCTTCTGAACATGAGAAAGAATTACACAATCTGGGCCATCATTTAAACATGATTCAAAAATGGAGTTATTTCAGTGCTTGTGCCTGTGCACGTCCTTGTGACACTTAGTGGAGTACAATAAGCCGGAATCTTTCAGTAACACCTTTAAGCAGAGAGATTTGTATTTTTAAGTAAAAAAGAAAACTCAACCGCTTTCTTTTTTGGCTTCATTTTCTTCTTAGCCTCACTTGAAGTGGAAACAAAAAACAATTTCCTGTCTTAACAAAATCTCATTGTTCTCTCAGTGGCTGCCTCAGCATGTATCTTCCTACCTTAATCACTAGTTCACCATAGTAACATCTGCTGCTGTTTCTGAACGTATGTGCAAGAGACTTTTTTTTTAGTTCCCAGTATATTTGCTGAAAATAATCTGTCTCTCATGGTTTGCTCCTCCTGTGTAGCTCAGAGAAATAAACACACCTAAATTCAAAAACAGGTTCCTTGGGCTTGCCATTCAAAGTCAGCGTTTGGCAACAGCTGCCAACCAAGGTACCCACTGCGCATACAAACATCAACGTGCTTGCAGTGGCAGCTAATTTAGTGAGTAGAGTTTACAGGTAACTAGTCCAATGTTTTATTAGTCCACTCAAAAGACTCCAAATTTATGTGAGGTTAACCAGTTCTCTGAAGTCACTTAAATCACGCAAGTCCAGTTTATCGTAGGTATTTGAAAGGAAAGAGAGTTTTGGACAGTGTACGGTAGTTTCTGTACGTATTTTTTATGAAATGGTTTTAATTCACCAGGCAACTGTGTTTCTATTTTCTTTTTAATATGAGCCTAAACTTTGAATATTGCCAGTATGGAAACTCTGAATGGCAGAATACTAAATAATTAGAAAATAACATTGACAAAAGAAGGGGAAGACAGAATAAGAAGGAAATGGAGAAATATTAGAAACCCCACTGAAGTTAGCTAGAAAGAGCAATCTAAGCTTTATGCTACTGCAGAAGTTTAAAAATAATAGTTCCTAATTGGATTACATTTTCTTCAATCTTTCTTACAGATTGTATTGCTGGTAAAAGAGAACCCTCTATTGGCAGAAGTAGAAGCACTGCAGAAATGTTACAGGGTTCTGGATCTGATATGTGAGAAGTGTATGAAGCAGAGAGATATGAATGAGGTACTTGCTATGAAAATGCACTACATCAGTTGCATCTTCCAGAAATGTATTACATTCTTAAAAGAGCGAGAAGATAAACTAGATGGATTTATCAAAAGGTATGTATATTTCTACAGAGGAGTCTGAAGGAACACATATGAACCAGCCTTACAGATATCAGAATTCTGACTGTAATATTAAATAGTAATAATGCATCCACTCATACTAATTACAACTATGCTAGTTTAGTTGCATTGTCTTGAATAAAGACGAGGTCAAGTAAATTTTGAAATAATCCCAATTACAGTGAGTTCAGGGTGGCACTGAGCCCTAGTTTCTCTGAAGTGGCACTGAACATTATTGGAGTACAAAGGAAATATTCCTAAAGTTTCAGCTCTCGACTGAAACTCATTAGAGCTTGGCAACCACATATACACAATGAAGCAGCAGAGCGCTCTATATGGTAGAGAAAAAGGGGGAGTGAGTGAAAAATGGATTTCTAAATGTCCAATGTGGATCATCTGGCAACATTTCTCCTGTCATCTTATTCTCCAGCAGTCATAAAGGGTAAGATTTTTTTTTCCAAAAACACTTCACTGCAAGTCCCACTGGCTTTAGGTGAGACCCGTGCTCTTAAATCATTTAGACAGATCTTCAGAACCTACTCAGAGTTGCAAAACCAGCTGCCTCATCTTAAGTATTGAAGTAAGTGGCCAAACTTGCAGAAGTATCTCATGCCTAGGGCCCCTATAGTCCTCTGTGAATTTCTCAGTGATTTTGAAAATGAATTATGAAGTCAAACAACTTTTCACCTACTGAAGTCAAATAGTTCATCAGTGATCCAAATAAAAAAGTAGGAACCAAATGGAGTTTATTTTTACAATGCTCGTTTTTAAACATAAGCACTTTCTACTTTAGTATGACGTAGCTGATAGTAGTCTACCGTTAAATGATTATGTTTCTCTAGGTGGCTGAGTTAGTAAGTAGTAGTTTCAGAGCATACATTTAGTTATTTTGTATTTTATAATTACTGTGCGTTAGCACACAAATCATTTAGTCTGCATTTTGAAGACTCTTGAGTTTGAAGTTGCAGAAATTATTTTGAATTATAATTCTCTATAAGTTTAGTACAGCATGCTGTGTATTTGTTCCTGAACATTTATTACATGATTCCTTATTTGACTTTGATTTTTAAAAATTTAGTCTCTTGAAAGGAAGAGATAAAGATGGTTTTCCTGTATATCAAGAGAAGCTAATCCGAGAAAGCATTCGAAAGTTTCCTTACTGTGAAGCTACATTGCTCCAGCAGCTCGTGAGAAGTATTGCTCCTGTTGAACTAGTAAGTTTCTCTTATCAAGCAAATACTTGCTCAGCAATTTGCAGAGTAAATTAAGATTAAACTAAGCCATCTTATTTCTCAGCTTCTGCAGTGTATTACATTAAGCAAAGATTTTGGATGTCTCTGAGTTCTCCAGCAAACAGGAGTTTTATTATACCTGTAATAATACTTATAGTAATATTTTTATACTGTATAAAATGCTTTGAAATGTCGCAACCTACTAGTTTTTTTTGCTGTGCCCATACTGAATGTTTAGATACCTTAGCTGTCAAAGAAAGCTGGAGCAGTTTGTTTCTGTATCAGAGCTTTTTTTCCTATTCCAAGTTGTCTGTTCAGTTCTTCTTTGCCAGTTCAGATTTACAAATGTGTAGATTCAGACACAAATGAAACTCATTTTGCACTTTTTCTTCCCCAGGTGCACTAAGATCAAATCACATCCTAGGTTTAATGCAGTCATTGTTTCCAGAGTGCATGAAAAGTTGGTAATATTTGATTTTAGAAGGAGAAGCATTCTGTGAAGCTTCCTTTATTAGTGGGAGAGGCAAGATAATGCAGGATGCAGTATGCAACACAATGTGTATCTAAATTAGGAAATCAAAATTCCAAGTAGAAAATCTAACTTCATCTTTCCCAATACTTCTTTGCTCGCATACTCTCTGTTAGAGTACTTTGGATGAGTTAATAATAAATCTTACACAAGAGTTATTATTCTCTTTTAAGAATGTAGGTTCTTTCTGATCTCTGGAAGCCAGATGCTATACGTACTAATGTTGGGGAAATGGAACAATTTTGTGACGTATGCTGAGGAAATTAAAAATAGCCACTATCTTAAATGGCTCCAGTGAACTAAAATGTCCTGAGGCATAATGCCTACAACAGCAATCTCTCCTGTTTGGCTAGGCTGGAAAAATAAACACAATATGAAAACTTGAGTCATCGTACCGCATTAAGGCTTGCTTCAGAGTAGACACTTTCCTTCCTGTCTCGTTTTTCGGACGAGAGCTTGCAGTCTTTTCTCCTTCTCCCTTCAAAGACGTGTTTTGTTGCATAGGGTTTGACTGTCCGGTATACAGAACTGGAAAGGAGGCAATGCTGTTATTTTTAATTGCCTGGGAGCTCGTGACCTTTGGCATGCCCAATTACTTGAATTCAGTCTGAGCATCTCAGCATATTAGTAGTAGTTATGATCTTGCATATTCCATGCTGATCTAATAGTTTACGGATCTGCTTAGAACTGGAGCAAACTGACTTTTTTTTTCCTCTCATGTGTACGTCACTGCACATAAGAATTCTTTATTTATGGTTACCAGTAAAATACATTAAATATTACTGCTTGTACTGCATGGGAAAGATATCAGCAAATAATATCTAAATAATATTATGAAAATAATCGTTTTGAGGATTCGAAGTTCTGACCACTTGGTCTGCAGTATTTGAGTATACTGAACACAGTAGTATATCAATGCCAAGTAAAATATTTTTCTGTGCGCCAGCGCAGAGACTAATCTGCATAAACCTACTGCATATTATTTACAAGCTGATGACAATGTTAAAAAAACACTGAGGAAAGTATAGTTCATTAACTCACCCAACAGATAATGTTAAAGGGGCATTTAAATTATGATAAAGGAACATAAGCTGTGGGATACTCATATTTTCAGTGATACTAAAAACCAAAAGGGCATATAAGTAGGACAGTTGAAGTAGTACCTCATCAGATGTACATGGAAGATGTTTCTGGAATTATTTCAGATGGAAATGAGGAGAACAAAGCTACCAGTATTAATTTAGTATTATATTTGTGAACCCCAGTAGGTACAAAATTTATCTTTTAGGCTTCTGAACTTTGTCTTATTGTTCTAATGTGACTAACTTTAAGTGCATAACTTGGGTTCCTAAGTGAGAAGTCTAGACCTCCTATGCAGTTAATTGCTCTTCTAAGGTGATGAGATAGTGCACTAAAAGCAGAGCCTACTGTCTTCACTGAATGATAAAGGAATCTAGTCTCCAAATGCAGTAGCATTAGCAGGGAGCATTGACACTTTAAAATAGCTAGCTTATCTTCAAAAGAATCTCCAAGGAAAAATAGCAGTTGTTTGAATATATGAGAATTCGACAAATACCTTCTATTATATGCATTTGCTACATTAAAATTTCTGTCTCTGTTCTGTGTGAAACTAACAGTGTTATTTAGGACTGCTTGTAATTAATGCAATTTGTATATAACTGCTTCTGGCTTAGGTAATGCCATCTATATTAGCCAAACATTTGCCCCTCACTGATAATACATGCCTCCAAATCCTTTTGGAAATTAACAGCATTCATTCAGTTCAGTAAAGGGTGAAATTTGCTTCTTTAAAATGTACTTCCTGAATAATTCAAAAATTTGCAGTTATTGAAAAGTTCTGTTATCTTTGCTATCATTTTACTTTATTGCATTACACTTCTGTTGATCAAGATCAAAACAGTGGTATAGAATGAGTGAGGATTCTATGCAACTATTAATTCCTCTGAATGCAAGCGTGTGTTCAAATGCTATGAGCTACTCAGCTTCAAATTTGACTCCATTATACAATGTGAAAGAAAATAATTTTTATCATCCCTTCTACAGAAGCTAAGGACTAGATTAACTTTGTATATACATAATTGTATGGATTGTGTAAGTTAAGTTTTATGTTAGTTGAATTCCTATGATTTAGTTTTATGTCATTGGTGCTACAACTTCTTCAGTGAGACTGTAGCTGGCCACGGGGAAGCTACTCTTCTGTTGTCCCCCTTCATCACAGTGATTTTTTTTTAATCCGGAAACTTACTGTATTACTGTGGTATGTCCTCTGTTTTACAGAATTCATTTGTTCTCATTAGCTGCTTCTTATCTTTTCTTTCAGGGTTCTGATCCTACTGCTCTTTCTGTTCTTACACAAGCTATTACTGGCCAAGTGGGTTTTGTGGATGCTGAATTCTGTACAACTTGTGGGGAAAAGGGAGCAGACAAAAGATGTTCAGTATGTAAAATGGTAAGAATCCATAAATTGTTATAATGAACTGCAAAAATTAGTGCCACTGAGTTGCTGAGGATTTTGAATGTGTGACTATTTACAGAGTAAAATTAAGAGGAATGACATGCATGCCTGCACTGAAAACGTGTCTGCTTCTGAGAGACGTACCTCAGATTCCACAAGCAGAAGTACTTGGGTTTTCAGATTGGTATGTTTAAGGGTGGAGGAAGAATAAAGTTGCTGTATGTTGAAAGTTAGCAAAAGAAACTATTCTATTAGAGTTTTATATAAGTTAGAATCACTCCGTATGACCTTACACGTCGCTTAAAAATACCGTAAAGTAGTATATATAGAGGAACTAGGTATGCTAAAAGGTACAACAATACTGTGTATTTTTTAAAACATAAAGATGAACTGTTAGCTCTCATAACTTTCAGGTGATGTACTGCGACCAGAACTGCCAGAAAGTACACTGGTTTACCCACAAAAAAGTCTGCAAGGCACTGAAGGAAATTCATGAGAAACAAGAACTAGAAGCTGCCAAAGAAAAAAGGAAACAAGAAAAAAGGCAAAATAAAGGTTAGAAGCTGCAGTTTGCTTGCTGCAACTAATGCTGCACTAACTATACCACATGGAACAATAGTAACAGGTCTTACGATCTGTAGCAAGTGATGTTAAGGGCTTTGTTGTAAGACAACAGCATACCTACATTTGCTGGAATTCTAGTCTTTCAACTTACAGATGATGTGTACTTTCTGAAAACTGTTCTTTAATGCTGGAGTTACACAGATGTCTACAACAGAGCTATAAGAATTACACTGTACTGTTTCAAAATCCAAATCTTTCAGGAAAATATGGAAGTTTCATGCTACTCTATTTTGTGTTCAAGGTGCTAGGACAAGTTGAGAATAAGAAAGCAGCCCACCTCTTCCAGTTGGCAAGGTCATTGTAGACATTAATTCTCCTGTAATGCTTGCTTTCTTCATAATCACTATATAAAATTAATTTTCATGTGTACTGTGAATACAACGAAAGAATTGACTCTTTTCTATGTTGCTGGTGTTTTTCTCCCTTCCAAAAGCAAATAATGCATTATGACAGAAGAAAACACTTTATGTTCTCTCTCTTAGCCCTCTGATACAATCAGAGCCTCTCTTAGCCTATTCTGATACAATGTTTCTATGATTGAAATGACACGAAAATTTTGGGTGAAAAGCCTTTTCTCCTTTACATCCTACTCGATTGTTCTTCCCTTGTTTTAAGGATTGTAAAAGTGCGCTGGACAAATCACGCTTGTCATATAATGGAAGTACTCTTCACTTCAGCTAGACAGTAAAATACTGGTCCAGGACTTATATTAGTAATTGCCAAAGTTTTCAACAATTTACTCTGAGAGTTGCTGTTGTGGGGGATGAAGTGGACTGTGGAAGATGGAGGCAAGGATACCAGTAGACTCCCAAGTACATGGCATACAAGTATAGCAAAATATAGTGAGATGTGAGCACTGATACCTCACACTGGTGATGAAAACACCCACTTGTGGATTCATCTTAACTGAACAAGCCAGTGCCCAGGTGCTGTCCTCTTCAGAAGGAGAGACAGGATCTAAGTGAATGGTTCTTCCCCCTCCCCTGCTGAAAGGGAAGGCTGCCATCTTTTATAATGTCAATGCTACACTACCTAAGTGTTAATCTTCATTAACTTCTTCCAGCACCTAGTCAACACATGATAGGCTTTATCAGATTATGTATTGTCAGCAAGACAGTGAAGTCATCCTAGTTTCAGATCACCTTGTCATGGTGTTGTATCAAAACTTCTCGTAACAACAGCAGTTTCATTTCTATAAGCTAATACCCCCTACAAATCCTATATATCAGCCAAAAAAAAAAAAAACCCAAAAACCTACAGCTGCATCTGCAAGCAAACCAAGAATTAAGTTTCCCCTGCACAAGCATGAGTGAGAAGGAAGTTTATGCAAAATCCTGTGCTCAGGCTTGTGTTAGCTCCTTAGCGAAATGGGCCTATGGCTTTGGCAGTATTGTGGCTAGTTAGGGCAGTGTTTTCAGCTGGGTATTAACCATCACAGAGAATAAGAAACCAAAATGAACTGCTTTCCAGAACTCTCGTGTCTAAGGTATTTTTTGGTGAAGCATGGTTAAATTAATCACTTTTGTAATTGGTAAGTTTCCTAGCATTTATTATTCCTTAAAAATAAAAATGTTTGCTTACTCATGAGTTTAGTGTTTACTAATGATGGGATTTCTCTTTTGTTTAGATGAAGTGCAACTAGCAGAGCCTAGTTCTGCAAGTGAAGAACAGTCAGATCCTGGCCCAGATGCTACCAAAGAAGTGGATCCAAATCATGCTGCTGACAGGACAGAAGAAACTGAGCTTACCAAAGAGTCAGAGGCACTAGCCCCACATCCGGAAAGTCCCTTAGAAAGTGAGACTGGCTTAGCTGACGTTGCTCTTCAAAAAATTCAAGATCCTGAGGAATAAGAGGAGGACAGGAAGAGTGTTCTAAGTGTTCTGGCTAAGTCTCTGTACCTCAAGCATCATAAAAAATATTTTAGGCTGACCATGTCTTGACTTTTCACAGCATGGCATATGTAAGGCTTCCTATGAAAGACAGCATGTATCTGTTTATCCTGAGATGAAATGGTAGCTAATTTGTCTACAAATACTTCAAGTCGTTGTAGATTGTCAAAATAGCTATTTATTATGTGATAAAAACTAGAGTGGCATAGAATCATCTGCATTTCTACCAACAGGAAGCATAGTAATATCTGTGAGATCTGTGGTCAATCAACCACTTAGTGAAAATGAAAAAGCATTTAAGTAAATCAGATTATTCTTGTTTCCAAAAACTAAAATCTATCTTCATAGTAGTTTAAAGGTTTTTTTTTTCTTCGAGTACACAGAAATGCAGTTGAAAGTCTTGGGAAGCCAACTGTTGAGTTGCTCTTACACCACTTTACGAAGCTTCGTTTGAAAGAATTCAGTAGTGATTAGGTCTCTGAAGATATTTGTCTGAATTCTCAAAACCTTTCGTGACTTCACTGTAAATAATTTTGACTAGTGAGTGCACAGCAATAGTGTCTATTTTGTGGCAATTTTATTAATGATACTACTGTTTCAGATGTCTCAAATTGACTGTGAAATGTATCTTTCAAGAGAATGACTTCTTTATTTATTTTCTCAAAAATATTCCAAGTTTGTCAAAGGCTAATGAAGAGAACACCTGAAGGTTTTTTAGTATTTTAACTGACTGGAGAATGATGGTTTCTAAATCTCTACTTTCAGGTAAAGATGTCTTAGAGCACACTGGGATGTTGTGTATGAATTGTTCGGTAAGCACATATAAGATGTTAAATATTGTACAAACAGACTGCACCTGGTTCCAGTGATTTGAGTGAGAAATTCATATGTACATTGATACAACTGGGATTTTATTTAGGCTTTCAACTAAATACCCTATCTTGAAAACAGTATTCCTTAATTATGCTGTTTTCACTCAGATTTACTATCACGTCTCATGAAATCAATGGGATTGTCACAAGCTAAAATACCATAAGGCATTTTACTCTGCATAAGGATGGCAGAATTTGAGATTCTTTAATTTCTGGGTGAATAACTGGTGTTTTGAACGTGGCAATATCTTTCAGCAGCGAGGAATCGGATCCATCCCCTATACAGAGGAAAAACGCTATAAATTTTTTACTGTTTAATATCTTGAAAGTTTTTAATATTCTGAAAATTGTAAGAGTAAGGATACTTAAATGCTCCTGGGCAGGAAATACACTTTTTGTATGATTCATAAAAGCATTTTCATTTCAAGGATTTGAAGAATAAAATGTGAAGAATAAAGGGAAGGTTTTTTTTTCAAAATAAGGAAGCTGAGTGGCAATTCTGTTTATTGCATCTATAACGTCTGCTGGGACATACTCTTACATTCAGGTTTATGATCCATTACCCTCTTGTAGCTCATGTGTACGAGTTCAGTTTCATGCCAGTCAGGGCCTGGAGCTGCCGGGGGGAAAGCAAGAGATGGGTAGCTGGGGCTTAGATATGGAATCAGGATATAGCCACAGTCTGCTGGTGGATCTGGGAATGCAAAGTGCTCCTGGGTTCCCTGATCTGTACATAGCTGCTGGGACTCACTGGGAGGTATTGCTTCTTAGGTTTCTTTGAAAATCCCAACCGTATAAAACAAATAGATTCAGGATTTTAGAAGTGTGGTAAAATCCACAGCACAATTTCTGCTTTCATTCTTCCAGCCAGCCTGGTTTTTCTTGATAAAGAAAAAAAGACCAAGTGATAGGAGAAAGTATTAACATTGGATAAAGGTGTGAAATACAGGATCTTTGATGCAGACTGTGTAGTTGTATTTGTTCTCGTTCTAACTTGAAAAAGCTTCAAAGTCATAAGCAGAGGTTGCTATACTTCCTTCTCTTTGCAATGAATCACAGATGAGAGCAAATGCAATCCAAGTTAAGCCCCTGGTCCCGCTGAGAGCTGCCTCTGCCTTTCTCAGCTTGAGCTTCTATTGGAAGATCATGGTTGGCATAAACCTGAGATAATGACTGGCTTTTGTGTAATTATAAACTGCAATCATGTGGCATGATACTTAAAAGGAACCTAGAGTAGAGTTAAACTTCATCTGCAACTTACTGATTCCTAAAGTAAGGTTTTAAGTGACAATGAAGACGGGCAGCTGCACAGTGCAAGGCCAGCAGATACACCCCTGCAGCTTCAAGAGTGTGTGCTTCACAAGACATTTTTTTTTTCCCACCACTGACTTTGCTTTCTAGGAAACCTGGAGGCCTCACTTCTGCTTCACCAGCTGTTTTGCTAGATATAAGAACACAGCAGCTGTGAATCTGTCTAGCCTGCCTCATTGCAGCTCTTGCTCCTTAATTCACTTTTAGACTATGTGTTTTTTTAATATCGACTACTATTTCTTCTACTGTCTTCTCCACTTTGGGAAATCTGACTGAATTAAGGACATATAAAAGCTTCTAAAATTATTTGAGTATAACTTCTAATGAACTGATTGTTGCATGTTCAAATCATTTTAGATTTCTAATGCAGTTAGATTTTCAAGGTTTTTGTTCATCTAACTAAAGGAAATTAATCCTTCGTAAAAGTTGAAATGACCTTTGTGATTTGAGTACTTTTTTGTATATAAATAGCTAATATTATTATTCCTTTTTCACGAATCGCTCTAAAATAGACTCTAAAATCAGTTCTGGCTTTGTCTGAAAAGGCCTTTTTCTGATAAAGCTCAGACAGATGAATATAATGGAAAGCACTGCTTTTTAACTGCGGAGGACTTATTTGGAAGTCAGTGATTGCATTGACTTGTGGCTTGTTGGACAGCGTCCAACATTTACAAACTACAAATGGGATCATGTCGCGTTACAGCAAAGGGCTTCTGGGTGCATGATAGGTTTTTCTGTTTAATATATGTAGTCCTGGCACACTTGTGTGGAACAGTGAGACAACCAAAAATCTAGAGGTTTTGATGGACTTCTCACCATCAAAGATTATATATGGATAAGTTAGCGCACTCATTGTCTTCTCTGAGCCCATCAGTAGTAGTATTGTCAAAATTCTTTAACAAATTTACTCCTGTAAAATGTCCTTTTTTTCCCCAAAATCTATATTCTTTAAGGAAAATGTCAAATTTAAAAATAAAATCTATAATAAAATTCTTGATGATGAAGCATCACATTCCAGTGTTCGCTCAGCAGAAAATTTGGAAACAATTCTTCATTTCCCTTCAATTTTTTTTCAATTTTTGTATTCAAAAGAAGAAAGGAGCAGAAAAACATTCCAGGCTAGAAATGTCGTGCATCTAATTTGATCCAAAATTTTGAAATTAATGGAATTTACGCTGAAATGGTGTTGTTTACTGCCTCAGTCTGGCTCCACATTGTGTGTGGGGTGCAGTTTATTTTCAGAGAAAACGCTTAAATACAGCCTTTGCCATGTCTACAATCACATCCGAAATCTGTGTATGTGCAATCTCAGGCATTGTGAAATTGATGAATTACTGCATCATAAACTACTTCCATGAACATGGTCAGCTGTCGGAGCTGAAGAGAGTCAGACAAACTAAGGATTACATACACTTATTAGACCCTGATTGTCAGTTATTTAGAGAGGAACTTGTTAAGAAAAATATGTTAGGTGAAGCTTAGTTTGGTCCAGCTTCTCTGTAGCCTGATTCAATTTGAGAAATGAAACATTCCTGAAACTTAATCAGAAGCAAGGTGTTGAGCTAACCTTTAAAATCACAGAGGTGGGGGTGATTTAAGGAGATTTACAAAACGCATGGAAGTTTGAGCAAGAAAAATAGGGAAGTGGAAAGCAAAAAGGAGGGACACTACCATCAAAAAGGTGAAAGGAACTATGAAGTTTAACAAAGATAAAGTCCTGTACCTGGGATGGGACAATCCCAAGCAGCAGTACAGGCTGGCATCTGACCGGCTCTGCTGAAAAGGACCTGGGGGTCCTGCTGGACAGCAAACTGAACATGAGCCAGCAGTGTGCGGCAACAGCAAGGAAGGTAAATGGTGCCAGGCCTCACCATGACTATAGTCAGCAGACAAAGGGTGTTATTATTCCACACTGCTTGGCACTTGTTAGGCCACTCCTGGAACTGCACCCAGTTTTGGTCAACCCAGTTCAAGAGAGACACTGAAAAACTAGAGATGTTTTGGGGAGAGAGGGGCACCATGATGATCAGACAGCTGGAGGAATTGGATTTGTTAAGCCCAGAGAAGAGAAGACTTAGGGAGACCTAATCATGGTCTTCCAGGACCTAAAGGCAGTTATGGAGAAGATGGAGGAACTGTCTTCACAGGGATACACAATGACATGACAAGAGGTAACAGGCACTAAGAGTTTCAGGGGAAACACTGACTGGACATAAGGAAAAAATTCTTCACTATGAGAACAATTAGACAGTAGAAGAGGTTGCCACAAGAAGTGGTGAAATCTCCCTTGCTGGAAATATTCAGGACTTGGCTTGACAGAGCCCTGGATAACCTAATCTGAGGCCCTGCTTTCAACAGGAGGTTGGACCAGCTGAACTCCAGAGGTCCCTACCAACCTACACCGGTCTGTGACTCTATGCAAACTTAAGGAGAGAAAGTCTGTAATTCAGACATGCCATAGGCTTAGGACTTGGATAACTTAGATAGCATTGACTTAAACCGAGCTTTTGGCAGAATGAAGAGTGAAAGATGTGAGGAAATTACTGTTTTTCATCTATATACACATCTGCTCTTAGCTCCCTAACAGGTAACTGGCTTTAGAGGCCCAAAGCGTCAGGTGTAGCGCTTTAGTATTGCATGATTCATGTGATTACGAAAAGAGAGTGTGTTTAAACTAGTCAGCAGTCTTAGGGCAGTGCATTTTTTATGGTAAGTCTCATCTCTACAAAGGGATGAGTAAGCAGAGGCTTTCAGAATAGTAGCTGCCACAGTCAAGAGCTAGTCCAGGATCTTAAGTCTCATGGATGTGGGTGAGTTCTGAAGATCTTAAGATCTCCATCCACAAGTTCAGGATGCTTAAGAGCACATGGCTCCACTATATTCAAACCGTAAACAGTAACCTCATAAAACTGAGAATTCTCAGTGTATTCATGCAGCACACAAATAATCCCACAAAGAGATAAGAAAAGCTTCATGGGGTTTTTCTTTTATCTTTATTTTGAGGGAGGAAGACACAAATTGGTGGGCTAAGAAGTCTCATGCTCTGGCAGAAACCATAACGAACTAAATTATTTTCCTCAGTTTCTTAGAAATTAACTTGCAGTTCTGCTTTGTTAATTTGTGATAATAACAATCATTGTAAGAATTATATTTCAAGCAGCTTTACTATAATATTGCTACCATTTACCATTTATTTTCTTCTTTTTTTGACTCTGCATATTACATATCTGAAGATAAAATAAATGTTACACTTTTTTTTTGCTAGAAGTTAATTTAATTAGACGCAAGCTTCAGTGTACACGTATTACATAGATATTAACTTACATAACAGGTTTCTATGCACTGCAGATGGAGGAATAGATTTTTTTTCTTAAGGAAGAAAACACTTATCTAAATTTGACTGTCAGCGTCTCATGGGGCTCTTCTGCTTTGCTTTCAAGCCGTCTTTCTTGACAGGTGGATACTTTATTCCAGTCAACAGAGGAAAACTCCATTATAGATCTTGTCATTGCCCTTAGAAAAACAGCATCTGCGGGGTTTTCAAATGGAACTCTGCAAAAAGAACAAAGCAAATGTAAATTATCTGAATATTTCCAAACTGCTGTAGAGCTAATTTACTAAAAGTAAAGCTAGAAGCCATGAACTCAGTTTTAAATTTTTTGAAGTCTTCTTTTGTTTCGCTGTTACCCAATTTAAGAAGGAAAAACAAAATCAGAAAAGGTCAGAATCATGGTACTCTAAGGAAAAAAATACTTAATTGTACCATAAACTATTTAAAATGCATTTTACTAGACTTTGAAATGTTGTTTTGTATAAAGAAGGTATGTCAGCACAGTTTCATTGCTTATTTTTCACAAAAATTGTTATTGTTGTATACAATGATTACATATTTCTGTACATCTGTCATAAAGAAAGGTATCATTGTTATTATAGGAACTTTAACTTTGACTGTCCTGATTTTTAGAAGGATTTAAGAGAAATCATAACACTAACTGCAACATTTATTTCAGTGCAGAACTTCTAAATAGTCAACATGCAAATATTGCTTTTCAAGCTCTGAATCCAGAACTCTGTAAGCTTGCATGGTTCATGCATCCTGCTACAGCTGCAGTTTGGCAGAGTCACAACATCAATGCAGAATTGACAGACTTCAGGTTAGACTAAAAACTTTTAACTCAGATACAGTATTATAACCTGAATTTAAAAGAACTTATTTCATAAAGGTATATAAACCTGTAGTAACGTGCACCTAGCATAAACCATGTGAATATTTCCACTAGGTGTAATACAGTTCCCATACTTACACCTTGTTACATGCTCGGGTACCTTGCAAAGGCCTAAGCATCTACGTTAAAAAAAATGGAGCAAAAGCTGTACATCCATTTTATCAATGAGGATAGCTAACACCACGGAAAGTAAGCTAGAATTAAGTTTTAAACATGAATTAGCCTGACTGCAAAGAGTGGTACTAGAAGCAACTGTATGAAATCAAATTGTTAAAGGAAATCTTTATGCATAAGCTTGTATTATATCCTTGAATAAGTCTTTCAAAAAATTTTATATGTAAAGCTATAAAATAAAAATAAGCTAATATCTTAAGTTTGTAAGTAAGTTTCATAAAGATAGCATCTGAAAATGTTTTGTTGAATAAAATGCAATCTTTATTCTGCCTCAATGTAGACAGAGATAACCAAGTTTTATATTTATTTCTATGATTTTAAAACCTAACAGAATAAAAGTAACATCAACTATGGGCTAAAAAGTTTCATTCTACAAGTCAGTAATATTTTCGGGGGGGCATGTATTTCTGGAGAGCCAAAGTGGCCTCTGCCACAATACAGAACAATTATTCTGATGCTCTATTACTTAAAGCATGCTTTTTCTACTAATCAGTATTCAGACTAGTGAAATAAAATGGAATTTCATATATCCACTTCCAAACGAGGAACACCTTTCAATATTAAGTGTTTTGAAGCAATAGGTAGGCTGTCTCATGAGAACAGTATAGTGTTGCAACTATGTGCAATACAAAAGACAAAATATTTTTCAAAATGTCAGTGTTGCTGGGGGTTTTTTTCTTCTGTTTTTTTTTTTTTTTTAGGGAAGGGATGAGGAAATTAAGTAAATGGTTGTGAGGTGCAAAAGCAACAAAAAAGGTCCAAAATTTACTTACTTATTTGTGTGATTTCCAAATTCACAACCTATAAAAAAGTTCAAATTAAGACATTAATGTCTGTACAGCACAGCTTTTTGATTACCTAAGACTTAGGATCTTGATACTCACTTACTTGTTCAAATGAACAGAAAACTAGGAGATGATTTGAAATGTGTAAGATCATTTTTAATTAAGTCACTGTGGAAACAAATATCTTCTTTGAAAAGGTTATTGCACCAATTATGATCAATTTCTTGCAGCTGTTTATGCAGTTCTTGTATTTTATTTTCCCTAGACAGACACTTCCCTTTTTTTTTTTTTTTCCTTTCACAGAAAAATGATGCCACTAGTCTACATGTGTGCTTGAAGGTGTGGTACAGGTAAGCTGTACCCATATTTTGATACTTGTCAACAAGAAAAAGAAATTATTAAATATAATTAAAGTATCCTTTTTACCAGCCTTTTCAAAATTATTGTTAAATATACTGTTCCTAGGATTACTATTGTGAAATATACATTGAAAAGCATTTTCAGACACTTTATTAAAATGCCCAAACCCCATCTACACTGCCTGTTTAAAACGCTACCATTTCAGTCATTCTATGCACGACTTTTTATTTTTCTTATCTTTAAAACATCAGCAAAGCAGATGAGATTGAGTGAAACTTCAAGGTTTTTCTGTATTGCCATGGTACTAGTCACAAGATAGATGGTATCCACCTGCTTTCTTGTGTCAGGACCATGCTGTTTTACAGATGTGAATGTTTTAATAACTCTATAAAAACTACATTACAAGAAGCCCTAAAGCAATATGCTACTATCAGACTTTATTTAAGAACTTCTTTACTTGGAAAGCATAAAAAGGAATCTGTTTACAAAACTAGGCAAGATATGCAAATTTTGCAACACGAGGAGAAAAACTTTTCTTTGAGAGATTAGTTTGTAAAGCACTAGAGGGCACCAAAACTCTATGAAGCTGACCTGTCTTGAAACATTCTTTTTTGGAGTTTGTTGAAGTATTTTTGTTTAAATAAGAGAGCAAAAAATTAAACATGAAGATACACTTTAAAAAGAGCTAAATGAAAAGATTTTTTTTCTAAAAACCTCTGCAGCTACAGAGAATGACTAGAACTTATTTGCCATAATACATTTTTTAGGAAGAAGAATTCGTTTGTTGGCTGTTGCTACCACTACTACTTACTTTAAACAGGGAGCGGTTTTGTTGAGTTTCTAATGCATTTATTTTTTATTACTAAAACTAATAACTCTTTTACCAGGTAAGTGAAAATTACTATTTCTAGTTCAAACCACCTAAAAGTGTAGGTGTTTTCCTACATTATTATAAATACCTGAACGCATCAGTCTTCTGGCTGGTTGAGTGCATCTGCTAGATCCTTTTCTAGTCACCAGTGGTGTATTTATTCGCTTTCCAAAAGCTATCGACTGCACAACGCAAGATCTTTCATGGTTGTAGACATGCAGTGCTGATTCTCTTTCTCTTTGCGTAACTGCTGTTTCAAGGGATATAAAAATTTTATTTTTTTCCACCAGCTTAACAGTCTGTTATCAACTCTCTGTGTGCATGCAGAAGGTAATTCACTTTTTGTGCAATTTTATAACAACAATGAGGTAAACTTGCATAATTCCACAATGATTCAGAATGGAAACATGGAGCAATAACTCCTAAGGTTCAAGAGCGAAGCCCTGTCCAATAAAATAAACTTTTTCTTTTGGCTGCAGTAGGATCAGTTTTAAATGAAGAAACTAGAAACCAAGACTCTTTGTGCCAATTAAAGGAGATCTATTACAGAACAGAGTAAAGACTCCTAGAGTTTTCTGCATGCATAGTAAAATCTGGTTCAAGGTCAGCAATTCCCATTGCTCAATTACAGAGAAAACTGTAGGAGTGCAATCAAAAGCAAAGTTTCATAGTTTCCTTTTTTTGCACTTTCATTCAAAAATAACTTTAAACAAAGAGTTTGAGACTGTAAGTCTCAGGGCCTTTTTACATTAATAATATGACCTGCATACTAATCTAGTACTTCAGACATGGAATAAAAGCAAGCTAAAGGTTTAGAACAAATAACTTTGGCAGTAGCATTTTGAATTCAGGGATTTTTTTAAAAATCATAGTATCTAGGGGACCAATTAGAAAGGAACTGCAGTAGTCATGCCTGGAGGTAACAGAAGTGTGAGCACGTGTCCTGCGTAAAGGAGACAGCCAGGACTGTACACGGATAACATTCCACAGATGTGGTAAAGAAGCTTTGTAATGTTACAGAAATAGTTCACTGAATGAAAGTCAAGGGTACAGCTTGATACAATTTAATGCCTAAAGTCTTAATCCAGGATTATAATATAACTGTATTTAAAAGACTGAGTCCAGAAGTTTTATAGAAACGTTTCTAGAACTGTAAATGCAACATGTTTTTTTACAGCAGATAAAGCTCCAGGCATTGCTCCCTAGCCAAAAACAATCACTAGGAAAACAGTCTGACAGACATACTAAGCAAGGGTATAATACAAGACCAAACGCTAAAGAGACTGGAGGTGCACTGGAAAGGCACTACACTTGCCTGTATACAAAGTACGTGCATATGCCAATGGCCACGTGGTCAGATCCCGCAGCTCCTCATCCAGCCCCACGCACAGGCCCCACGCTACCAGCACCCGCAGTAGCCTTTCTCTGTCCTGCACCCTGATCCTCCCCCAGGCCTGGGAGCAGGGTTCCTCACTTCTCCCACAAGGTACAGCTGGGATAACAATCTCAGCACCTTTATTAGTGCTCCCCAGCAATACTCCAGTCCGCCTGCATATCACATAGCACTTCAAACACCAAACACCAAATCACCAAAGTTGATTTTCAGGCTGCACTGTCAGATGTTTAATGACTGGCTGACTTAACACCTGGCTACTCCGAAAATGATTTTTGCTGCAGCTTTTAGAGCAGAGAAGTTGTGAAAAATTTCTCAGTGATTTATGAAGTTTTATTTTTGACAGCTTGATCAGCATGGACATTATCAAGAAATATGCATATACTTATTTAAATTGTACAAAAACGTGTAAACATCTGAGCATATTATCTATATTTAAGTAAACAGGTTCATTCATGTGAATATACCAGTTTGAATGCAAAACTGTAGGAACATGTTTGTAAACACAGGCTTTAATCTCTCTTACCTAAAACTATGTAGACCAAATATAAGACAAAGACACACAATTTAAAGAATAGAAATCAAAAGGGTCTGGCAAAGTGTTTGGGGGGGTCTGGTGTTTACTTCATACAAACTCCCCCTGCATGACAAATATTGCAAAAACGGGTATGAGTTCATTAGATAGTTTGCTATCTAATGCAAGTGCAAGTAAAAGAACAGACAGGATTAATTCACCTATTTTTCCAAACTGACTAGAATTGTAAGTAACTGTCAACGCTTTGTGAAAAGAGGAAAGCAATCCTTACGTTTCCTGTCAAGGAGCTGTACTGAAGGAAGGAAGTATATCACATAAAGCCGGTAGCCTGGATCTTGTGCCAGAGGGTTATGGAATAAGTCTGAAAAGTGTATTTAAAAAAAAAAAGAAAAAAGAAAAACAACTGCTATCTTAGCAAGACAGAAAAACCAAAGATCACTAGTAGTTAAAGACTTTGTACAAAATATGATTAAATTCAAATTATTTTGATATAGGTAAACAAAGCACAGTGCCTTTCTTTACACACGCAAAATTCCTCAACTAAACATGGACTGCAAGATTTGGCTTATTGCAGAGTATGTAAAATACCACAGGCAAGACTTGACTAAAAGTGCCATCTTACACTCTGAACCTTTGAAGTTTCTCTTATATTTCTGTGATATGCAGACAAAACCACAAAGTGTTTGCCTTTGATTTTCTGATATATTGTTAGGTGATGCCTATTTTAAATAGTAGTAGTGTTTTAGATATGATAGCTTAAAGACACGACACAAAATTTGCAAGGGGAGAGAGGTACTAAAACCAGATGAGCTTTTGGATACGTAAGGCTTTATCAGAACTGATTCAAAGCTTTTATCCTGTAGACACAATATAAACATCTGGTTTTCTGATGTTTTGACAAATTATGAGTTTGAAGACTCCAGAAATAGCTAACTATAGGTTATAGTAATATGTTTGAAAAGGCCTAAGGTTCCTTGAACTTCGGTCCCACTAACTTTCAGTGGGACTTGAAGTGCTATGTTCCAAGGGCCTATTACCAGCTTGACTGAAATACTTACCTTCAAGTTCACATTATCTGAATAACCAAACTTTTGCAACACAAAGATAGGTGTCAATCCTGTGTTGCTGCTTTGCCAGGAGATGTATAGTGTTCGCCTAAATTAAACGCTAGATTAGTTTGGTTCAAGAGAATGATATCAGAGGTTGATTAAAATAGAGCCTGGCCCATTGCTGGATCTGCAAAAAGACAGACAAGGTGCCTTTAATTTTTTCTAAATTAAATGAATCTTAGAGCTACTTTTCTCCTTATACGAATATTTTCCTGGAAAGTAAGGTAAAAAGAATCAGGAAGCTGCTACCTGGAATTACTGCTTACAGAAAGAAAACGTCCATAAATTAATAATTTTGACAAACTCTATTAAGGTCTAAGGTGACCTGTTTTTCTTTTGAAGAGAGGCTGTGGTTAATATTTGCTCTAGGCAACAAATCCTCCGCTATATAAAATTTTAGCACTTAGGGAGGGAAAGGGAGAAAGATGGTATCACAGAAGCAAACAGGGGCTCTGATATTCCAGCGATACTGAAAGATAAAAAAATCTGAGACATTCTACACAGATCAGAAGGCTACAAGATATCATTCCCTGTTCTTCAGGAAAAGGATGACTGCCAAAGAAGGCTCATTTGTTTGAGGCTACTGACCAGTTATTTTGAGAGCTCAGTAAGTCCAGACTGGGCATTTGAAATCTTCTACGCAGAAAATGCCTGTTCATGTGTTCAGAGGGGAATTTAACAAAATATCCTAATTCTTCTAGGATTTTTCCAAAAGGCCATTGTATTTAGAAGTACTAAGAGATCCACAAGGTGGCAGTAAAAGAAAGTTTCATTTTTACTGATGCATACAACCATACATACTTTTCTAGAAAGTGTTAATCTGAAATATTAACTATATATCTGATAAGTCTGTTCCTGAGTCAAGAAAATATGTGCTAGCATTCCAGAGAGAAAAACGTTTCAGAAAGAAGTTTAAAAGCAGGTGAGGTTGGCGTTTCAAGCAGTTCTGGAATGGAACGAATACTCGAGAGAGATTTTTCCAAGGCACAGGAGTCGATTCTTAGTACTTCTGAGTTCAGATACTCCTTGGAGCACATCCCTCCTCAGCCACACTGATTTGTCGTTTTGTTTTGGAGAATATATATATATATATATATTTATTTATTTATTTATTTATTTTTTACTTCTGATTCTTAAAGTAAATTCAACCACTGTATGGATCAAGATGGTCTTATTTTACAAAACATCTGGGATCAATCCTTGGCTCTACTATCTACTTTCTAGTGAACATCAGTTAATTTTACTTCTACAAATTAGGTATAATGCTTTCTTCCTCCACTTTTGTCTGTTTTCTCAATTCAGAATGTAGGAAAACAGTGTGCTTATCCCACATGGGGCAGAAAGGAACTATTGTGGTAGAAACATACTGAAGAACAAAAAGAGTCTTCCAAGGGCTAGCAGCAAGATACTATCAGTTGCGGATAATAAATCAGTTGAGACAGTTTACAGAGTATGTCAGAAAAATTTTGGATTCCTAAAGGGAGCTGTGAGCACAAAGTGAGCCCATAGAGAAAACCTCTCTATCTCTCAAAACGCTGCAGTTGCAAGTAAGCCATCCAGTAAATCTTTAGAAGGTGAGCGTCTTCCACAAATGCCTGACAAAGAATGGTGTTATGCTCCAAATCCGATGTAGGGCAGTGGCTAAAAATCACAAGAGAGCCTTAAGGAAGTACAACATGTTGCCAGCTGGATGTTACTTCTGAAGTGAACACTCATAGCATATTAGACTGCCCAATCTTTAGTAGTTCTAATGTTCACAAGAGCTATTCCGTAATAAATTCTTATTTTGCATCCAGAGTTTTGTTGAAGGTTAACAAGCATTTGTTTTAATTGGACTGTCCAGCAATAAAAACGTGCTACCTTGCAACAATAAGAAACCTCCCATTCCCAAACTGATTTTTATTTTATAAATGAGACTTATGGGCACAGGCCTTCTCAAAGTTACACAGCACAAATTCTGCACCCATTTCACATTTCTGAATATTGCAAATAGATGATATGGTAATACTTACATAGAATTTTGATTTTAAAAGGTATTTTTCTCATTTACTGCTGTCATTTACTTCAGATATGATGATGTATTTTATGAAACAGTCCTGCTAATTTGAGACCTCCTTATCAAGAATTTTCTTTGAAACAAAGGGATTGTCATTTCTCTCGTGACTGTAAAGGTTAGCAAGGAATGACTGAAAGCACAATATGTTTCTTCCACTGATTAGCATTTACTCTCATATCCTTTAACTGAAGATTTTTGTTTAAATCAGTGTAGATTAGCATGTTCTGTATAATTCTGTTCCACAGTTCTCTTAGATACTTACTTTTCTATGGTGATGGTCAGTCCAATACGCATCCTGTTTTCACTATGTCTTTGTGACTGCCATACATAATAACTCAGCAGCACTTTAACTATCTGCTATTTCTCTCTGTTTCCCACAAATAGCTGCAACAAGCCTAACAAACCGCCTGTGCTTGTTGAAGCTCTGTGTTAATCGGTAGCGCTATAATATTAAATTCAAGTGACAGGATGTCAGTCCAGACTTTCCCTAATCACTTTAAACAACTGCATTCTTAAACAGTCTATTTTTAAACCTTGCACATAATGCAAAAACTTACAGTAATTTGACTGGCATGTTGTCTTCCTAAACACTTGATTTGATTTTGAATTTTTGGCCTAGTTTCAAGTTCAATTAAAAATATACTTTTCAAGCCATATTTTCCTTTCCTGCCAAGAGACATTCAGTTTTTTGAATGCACAAGGTATGTTTTGATGATGTTCATCTCCATTAATTATGTTACTAAGACATACAACTAGTTTCCTGTTTTCTCAAAGTTCTGAGAGTTTGGTATGATCTATGATGACATTCTTTTAGGAACCATGGAAAAATATTGCTTATACTTTCACTTTCAATAAGTTAATAGCATATAATCCTACTTCCCTGGAGGCTACTTCTTACATTGTAACTTTGTGGCGCCAGCACTGTCTTGTACAACTTAACCTGAAATTTCAGAGCCTATGCTACTTTCGTTTCCACCCAGTGTATCAAAAATCATGCTAGTTAACAGAGATATCATTATATTTAATATTTAAAGTGTACATATCCTTAGACTCTAGAAATGCATAAAGTATGCCAAAAAGAGGCAGAAAATAAGTTCTGTGCGCAAAAGAATTAATGAAGGCAGGGATTTGGTTTACATGAACCCATAACCTCACTCACAGTCTCAACAGCAGTCTTGAGACACAGTTTCTCAACTCCCTTCACCTCTCTGATAACCCTCACTGTACTCACATGTCCCCTTACTAATAGGTAGCAGTAAACCGCTTTAACTGCTTCCAAGCTACGCAACCAGCAGATTGGCCAGACAGCAGCCAGACAGCAGTAACTGTTGAATTCTTTCGGCAGTTTTTTCTCAGTGGGGGTACGCTCTTGTAGGATTTTCCTATCTTAAAGATCTCTTTCTTCTGTCAAATTTGGTTGAATTTGGTCATTAGGTTCAAAAGCTGTTGGCAAATAGCGGAAACAGAAAACAAATATCCTGATAAGATACACTAAGAAACTATTGTTCGCTGTTCTGCAATTTAAAAAGAAGGTATTACTTAGGGTCTGCAAGCTTATCATTCCTTTTAATTCCTTCACTGTTTTGCCCAGGTTTTTTAACTGGTTGTTGTGAAGCAACAGAATCTGTAATGCACACAAGTGTTTCAGAGCACCTGAAATAAAATAAAAACATATCATCATATATGATTGCCTTGATTAAGTAATGTTTTATAATGCTGCATGCTAAATTTGATATTCTAGTTATCCACCCAAGCCTGCCTTTTTGGTAACACCTTACATGAAATTAGTTAAAAGATGTTTTATTTATCAGAAATTTCAATGTCCCTTTTACCTTTCCTGTTCACATCTTTTGAACACATACCTCATTTTTTTCATTTCAGTTCCATTTGTCCCCATCACCCTCACCTCAACAAATCAAGTTCAACTGCACCCTCTCCTTCCTTCCTTACTCTTCCTTCCTCCTTTCCTTCCTTCCTCCTCCCTCCTTCCTTACTATCTTTCCTTCCTTTCTTCCTCATACTTCCCAGTAATTTTTGATCAATTGCCCTTCTCTTCCTTTTGCCTCACAAACCACACTATGTGCCTTAGAAAACAGCTCAATTTCAACTAATTATTAACGTATTAAAAAGTTACTCCTAAATACTGTTGTGACTGACCCAGACTACATCTTCACATCCTCACTCCATATCAAGTTTAGACATCTCATTTTCCAGTTTCTATACAGCTCTTCTCATTCACATTTCTCTACCAATGATACCTGCCCTTCTGTTACCCATATTTTAGTACTTCATGCACTGTCTCTTTTGCTTTTATGTTTCTTGCTTTCAAACATTCATTTTTCCCAAAATCTTGCAGAAACTAATTAGCCTCATTTCTCCATCCCAACATTTCATGGGGACAGAGAAAGGTAAAATATTAACACTTAAAATGTTTAAAACACATGAATTTATTAATATGCTATGGCCTCTCCATTCACAAATTTACTAATCTGCAGCAGCTATTTTAAACTATAAGAGCAAGCAAAACTTAAATAGATGTGTAAGACAAAGCTGGAATTTTTGAAGAAAAATTTTACATTAACTTCGCAGATTACTTCTGATTGTTAAATGTAAATACATCACGAAGAAACTGCAGAATATTTGTGACTATATTACAAGTGGGACAGCTTATTAATTTATTGCCCTTTTATTTTAATATCACGTCTGTGAGCACTGCTACCAGTTTTTCATCATATAAACAAACACGGCTCTCAACAGGTACTTCTAATCAAATTATGGAGTACCTGGTTAGCAAGGGGACTACAAATAATCAGATGTGAGAAGAGCTTTGCATGTTTATTTTGAATATGAAATATGGTCATGTTAGAGCAAAAAATGTTTTACAATTGACTGATACTAAATTGGGAACTGCACATACTGCTTCCAAAACTATCTTATATTTTCAGTTGTTTTAATAGAAGTAAAAAAAAACATTCATGTAAAAGCTGTCTACACTGTTGGTATTTCATATGTTGACTATATCTGATAAAGACCAAAATTAGTACATTATAACTATATAGTAACATGTAATTGGCAAGTGAAAAGATATTTCATTCCCTTAGACCAGGAATTTTCAACCAGTAAGTCACTGTACTCCAATTACATATTTTTTAATGTCAATATACCAAAAAGAATGAGTAGGCCTTTGCTCAACGATCTAAAAAGGGAAGGTTGATACCTGATATATCTGTGAGTTCATTATTGTTGAGGTAGACTTCTGTCAAGCAATGGTTTTTGACCAAGAAAGTCAAATCTTGGATCTGAAATGAGAATTAGGAAAACTATTATACATCAGTCTAAATTTAACTTTGGAGAAGTATAAACATGGCCTCTTTAAAAGCATTTCATTATAGGTAGTTTTTTGTATTTTAGTGAAAGACTGTCTTGGTTTAAGGCATCTCTTGAGAACACAAACTTCATTAGAAATACTAATTACACATGGCAAACACATGTAAAATAGCCTTACGTCATTTTTTCAACTACAAATTTAATATTTGTTTTTTCAGAACAGATTTCACTGAAATTACTGGCCTTTGAATTTTGTTTTAATTCTATTCACATTTGAAATGCTTTTTTTCTGTAAGAACATCCTTGTAGGATGTACTATTTCTATACTGATTTAAGAATAACTCTAAAAAATACGCTTGGAATAAAAATTATTTCTGCACCAGCAGATCTGAAGAGCATGTACTTGCTCTAATTTCCAAATATGACAAAAAAATTATAATTATTGCAAAATTTGTCTTATGGGTATCAAGAGTTATCTTCACTCTCTATGAAATCTTAGCCCCTTACTTTGAGAAGCTCAGTTGTAGTATTATCTTGACTTGGATGCAAAGTAAAGTACATGTAATGGGGTACCATGCTGACCATTATAATAGTTAAGAACTGGGAGTACTAACAGTGGGTTACTATTTATCTAAAAGCTTAACTACAACAACTACAAATAGAATTCTGTTCCTGATACTACTCTGATTTGTATGATGCAAAGTAATTTGTTAGTGGGACAAGGATTTCAGCCCTTGAATTGTGCCACGGACTTTAAGACAAACATGCTTTACTCTGTGTATTAACAACAGCTGAAAGTTGGAAGGGTGAGAATAAGGTGGGGGCTTTCTCATTCATAAAGTTCTCTGAAATTCTAGGAGAAAAGATACTTTATAGTTCAAAATAATATCATTTAATGAATCTTACGGCACCTGATCAGAAAAACCTGATTCAGTGAAAACAAGATTCTAAAAATACAATATTCTTCACAATCATTATTGTTTCTTGTGCAGTGTAAGACCATCATGTACCTACCTGAAATAGTGACATTTCTCTATCTTTGATAAATATGATTTTTACTGAGGTCGTCCAAACTTTACTTTTTGCAAATAAAATTATTGTGATGCCCTTTTAAAGAAAAAAAAAAAGCCAGCTCTTCCAAGTTCAGAAAAGGATGCTTCTTCTATTGCAACATTTAGCTGGGACATCTCTAAGAAAAGCCAATGAGTCATCAGGGATGACAAGTGACTGAAAATGACATTTCCACACCAGTTTTACAGAATACTGAAGAGGTTGTTCTGTTTTGTTTGTTTTGTTTTGTTTTGATTGTTACTGCTTAGGTAGGAAAGCGAGATCTATGCAAAAATCAGATTCATTTATCTTTTACTGATCAGCAAGTTCAGATCGGCTTGATCATCAGGACATTTCTTATTCTTCAGTGCTCTTCATAAACAATAGGAAAAGCCTTATGCCTGTGGTTTTAGTTCAGCCTTTTCAAGTATTCATATTTTTGCATTTTTTGAAAACAGCTGGATAACCACAGGTCTTTCAAAAAAGTCAACGTAAGATGCTTTGTAATTAATGTTAGCCTGGGGCAGCAGATATTCATACACTCCTAAATTATATGGAATGTAAATTTATGTTTTTCTTCTGCTCACAGAACTACTTATTTACCTGAGCAAGTACTGCTGGTGTTCCAAGAACCTGAGTCCAACATGATATAATGTAAACTATTGTACATCAAGATATTTAAGAGCAGGTAGAAATTACTGTGCTTTATCTTTTTTTTTTTTTTTTTAAATTATCAGTGGCTAATGGTGAACGTTTGGATTCAGTACGGGACCTAATAATGTTTGGCTACTTATATGGAGATTTCTAAATCAGATAATTCCACTGTCAAGTAGCTGACTTAGTATAAAATACAACGTGCTGAGACTTGGCTGGAAAGTGGAGCAGCCACAAATTTTAACCGAGCATTGTCTCAAAACACCTAGCACATAATAGGGAATATAATCTGAATTTGCACAGATGAAGAAAGTAAGGTACATGGGCTGAGTAACTGACTTGGGACCAGATAGTGCATTGGAAACAGAGCAGAATTTAATGTGGCTCTCAATGTCATACTCCAGTCACTGGCCTGGACACCTCTCAAATCGAACACAAACATTCTGTAATGTATAATGGAATACTATGTTTATTCAAAGCTGTCATGTTTAAATCAGTTAAATTTCTCAGAAATTAGAAAATAATCTATTAACTTGGCAATTATATAATATTTTATCTTAGCAAAAGTATGAAGTAATAATCAGGGAGTATTAATGAATTGTTCTCTTTTTTAAAGGAATGTCTTATTACCTTATTGTTATTAATCCACAAGTACCTTAACCTGTGAAACCGTGATAGACTCGGGATACTTCTCAGTCCTCTGGTGGAGGAAAAAAGATAATAAATTGCTTAATTTTAATGTTGCTTAATTATTTTGTAAACAGTTCAATTTTTGATAAATAATATTCTAAAAACACTAAAAAGCAACAACTCTATAGAAATTATAGCAGAGAAGGGCAGACAGAACAAGATGGTAGAGACCGTGTAAGCATCCTAAACACGTGAACACGTAACAAAGCAGCAGGTGGCAAAGAAACGGGAATAAACTCACGCATACCTTAACTTTTTCTTTCATAATAGCATTTATTTTCCCAGAGAATATGAGTCCTATCTACTTTGCAGTTTGTAGGGATTCTGCCCGGAACTTATGAAGAGAATTGTTACATCTTAAGGGACATAAACCTAAAGAGAAAATTGTTTTGAAAGTACAGCATGAATTCTTCAGCCACAGCCACAGTGTCAGAGGACCTAACAGAAAACACACACCTTTTTTTTCACCCCCTCTTCTCTCCTGTCATCACATGAATTGAGTACACACTCATCCTCACTCAACAGTTTTGGTTTAAATCAAATTGTACATTCACTGAGGCTGGAATGATCTCCCTTGTACTTGCAAGTTTTTTTTGTTTAATGGTGTATCTAAGACTTTGAAGCTGTGCTTGCAAGTGAACTGTAAGTAAAAAATTACCAGCTAACGTGAGAACATGAGTTGACCTGCTGAATAATTTTCACTAATTTTCTTCCTTATTTTTTGTTGCTTTAAACAAATGGTCTTGATTTTCTCCAGAATAATTACAGATGGCCTTTAAATTATGATTTTTTAAAGCAACCTAATAAAACTTTTCTCATGGATTTGAACATATTGCAGGACCAAGGCTAGTGTTTCAGAAGGAATTAATAGGATCAATAAGTATTAACCTCACATCATCAGCCTAAACTCACCTGCACGTGTTCCAACTGGGAAGCCTAGTCTCCAGTTTCCCATGGTACTCTTTTCAGACAAACTCTCCAGACAAAGACCTTTTCTGATCTCACATTTGAAAAAAAATCTATTGAGAACAAACCTCACAAAATTGAGGTGCGGTAGTTTTATTCTGCATTTCTGGAAATCAGATTATCCAGTGCTGCTCCTTTGCTAAATTGGTTACTTGGTTTCCTCAAATAATCCTGAAAATTAACCCTGCAAATATGGACCCTGCAAATATGGATTTGTGTGCTTACTTTTATTGTCACAAGTAACCAGAATTACAGTACTCAAGTTAGTAAAGATAAGGACGTGAATGTTGACAGGACATCGCTCTTACTGACCATTATCTAATTTTTTGTAGTTTTACCTGTATACCCCCGAACAATTTTTTGGATCGCAAAGCTGAAATTTCCTCATATTCTTTGTCATTGCCATTCTAGTCCTAGTTTACAGGGTTACATTTAAATTGTCTTTACTCCCTCTCTAGTAATATTCTCACCTTGACTGTCTCCCAGCCGTGATCTGTTTTTTTTTTTTTTGGTTGTTTTTTCTGGTATTAAGGTATTTAATTTGCCCTAGGTAGAGATTAATTCCTCTAACATTTTAAAAGAGCCTGTCCATTTCTGTACGCCTTCCAGACTTCGCCTTTCTCTCATAAACTGATCCTTCTTGGCCTCCAGCACTCTTCTCCTACCTACTGCTAAGTTAATCAGTTTCCCTAGGATGACAGCTTTCAGTGTCCAAAAGTAAATTTTTCATGTCCCTTTAATAGCAATAGTTTAAAAATATAACTTCATTCCATCTAATCTGACAGACTCTAATCATTAATTTTTCATTTTCTCTTTCGTTTAGCCAGCAGAAAATTATGTCAAATCAACAGTAAGGAGGCAGGCTCTGATACTGAGATTGGCAAAAGTTCAAATTTTATATAAACTGCTACAGAATAAAAGGAATTCAGTTCTCTCCAATCATCAAAGAAGCCAGCTTGCATTACCTTTCTTAAAGCGGTTTCATGGGAAGACAGATCACTTCTATTATGTGCCATCTGATCGAGTCTTTTTATTCCACGCCAGAAAACTATTCCAATGCCAGTGAGGGCACCTATTTAAGCATTTAAAATCAGAAAATGTGCCTACTAAGACTGCATATGCAGCTTTGCCTCTTTTGCATGCATGCATTACAATAATTTCATCATATTGTTTAAATAATATATAGATGCATCTTTTATTTTTTCATTACTTAAATTCTTTCCTTACTTAAATTTTCTGTATGTTTTCTTCTTTTTAAAATATAAATTTTAGTAATTTTTCCAGTAGCTATGTGTTTTACTTTTTCTTTTCAAAAAGCAATTCTTTTTTGGTATAAATCAGGAGATATGCTGAAAAATTTAGAGTACCCAATGGGCACATTTAGATTTTCAAGACCACCTAGTTCCCACTAAAAACAAGCTACACAGTACTGAAATCCCAACACCTTTATTTGCATTCACACGACATAGAGACCTTGAAAATCTTGCCCCCAAATTATTGAACTGCTTTAGTTCTGTGCATACGATATCAACACTACAAACATCAGATGCAGTTGTGAGACTGCAGACAGGTATGCAACACTTGGAATTATGCCCTGGCCAGAAATTCAAAGTATGCTTTTAAACAGCTTTGAAGTATCTCCTGTCATGTATCCATCCTTCTATGGTAGCCTCTCGGTATGTTCGTCCTACAACGTGCCACTATTAACCTAGATCACCTACAGGCTCACGAAAGCTTTGCTTTTCTTCCGTTAGCATGGTTTCTTCCCTCCTCTCCTTCTCACCTGCCCTCTATCTTCAGCCACTTTGTAAAACTCGCAGAGATCAGCCCTCTGAACAGCATTGCCAGCCTCGAGCAAATGCTCTCACGTGTGCACTCACTTCATGCTGCCCTGCCCTCCTGCCAATCCTTACGGCAGAGATGCAGGTACTTTCAAAGGCTTCAGTAAGCCATCTACAATTGCAGTAAGAGATGTCTTCAGGGAGGTCAGAAACGTGGTGGTTCTCAGACTGGGCAGGTCCTGTGTTTTTTGTTTGCCTTCCTGATACTCTTTCCACCCAGCTTTCCAAGCCAGTCAGAACAGGCAGAGATCAGCCCATTAAGCCCGACTTCTCTTCTCTCTGTGGCAGAAGTTCATACAAAACGCTGTGAACTTACAGACCCTCGAGCAATTCTGGGTTGCTAGAAGAGGATTGCATACCCAGGGCTGAGGCAGATAACTACTTAATTGTGAGTACAGTTCGGCTATATATGTCAGCGTATCTTCACCATTTCCTCTTACACAACATGTATGGCTTAGGTATAAATATGATTTACCAGGTATAAATATGATTTTCACATATAAATATAGTTCAGAGACTATCTGATATACACAGTATTATGAAAGATCACCATCTGCTGTGTGCTCTAGTTTTAGTAAAAGACAGAGAAACATATTTTACTTACTGTCCAGCCAGATACAATACTAAGACATCCATATTCCTCTTAAAGCCACAGATCTTCAGCTGTTTTTCTACTGCCTGACAGTATACAGTACATTTGTCAGCATAATATACTGTATAATTACATATTCATTACGTTATGATTAAACATGCATACTGAATGAGCATCTAAATTAATGTACATGTCAAAATTAATATATTCATCGCAGCACCTTGCAAACAAAGTATGGTCTAAGACAGTGATGAAGCAAGATCAAATTAACAATTTCTATTTTAAATTGATAAAAATACTCCAACAATTATGTGAGGCTTTCTCTAGTTTTCTTTAGCTGTGAGAATCACGGTTCATAGATACGAGGGGAAAAGTAATGTATGCTGACTGGCAGAACTGGCTTCTCCCTCATGTCAGCAACCCAGAGATCAACCGGGAAAACTGCTTATCTAGCAATGCATTTGCAACTGAACTTTATGCACGTGATTTTTTTTTTAAATTATGCATCCAGAAAACTCTGCTTGTATATTAACTTCAAAAACGGAGACACAAATGTAACTTTCAGATTATGCCACTGCACCTACTGTAACTTGCAAAAGCAGTAAAATCCTAGTAACATGAGAATTGTGGATATCGATCACTATTGCTTGATAAAAGGCAGAACATCTATCAGAATACCCACCATCATCAAGATCATCTTTGTTTAAAACACAAAAAGCGATACAATTTTGCAACACCAAAATGGCTTGGAAGGACTGATGGGTATGTTTAGAGGAGCCTGCATTGGCTGCGTTGTCCTGGGCTTATTGAACATTCATAAAATAACTTTGGGTGTGCTTGCAACTGGTTTGGACGGCTGGTACTTCCCCCAACACAGCAAGCAGAGCGCTTGTGGCACCTGCAGCGCGCGCTGGCCGTTTATTCCCCCCAGCCGATGCTTGGGCAGGGGCCGTTTGTCTGGGAACTCGGTCTGGCCGGCAACCTCACCGGAGGCGAAAATCCTGGACAAACGGTCATATTTTTCTTTCGCCCAGACAAAATGTGCAAGTGGAGAAAGAAATGCTCTTTGGAGAAGAACAGCCGTACGGCAATCCTAGGAGCGTTAGCTTCCGCCTTCGGGGATTCTGCGGAACGCAAGCAGCTGTCAGCCACACCGAGGGAAAACGCACACCTCCTTCAAACACAGAAACCCCAGCGACGGCTTTCAACGGCCGTGCTCAAGAGAGAGGACTGTCTCCCAAGGCTTTTATTTTTCTGTCTCCCTTCTTGGCGATTCCCCG